GCTGACAGTCAAATTCCAAAAATAACCATCTGTGTCAGCCTCACATCCTGCTTCCACTTCCACACACACACACACACACACACACACACACACACACACACACACACACTCACACACACTCACACTCACTCACTCACTCACACTCCCATTTGTTTAAGTGGACTTTCTCATGGCCAACTTTTCCAACCTGGAAACAGAGTTAAAGTTCTTGACGGTGGTCTGTCTGCTGTGAGGAGGCAGCGTGTTGCGTGGCACACTTGTGTTTTTACAGTGCTGGTTAAAAGCCGTGTTGTTGGCAGACCCACAGGCTGTAGACTGTGTCTGTTAAAACATTTTATTACCTGTTGGGACTATTTATAACGTGGCTGTGCTCCGACTGCTCTCAGCTGTCAGCAGTTTGCACCTGCGGCAGCACGTTGGGAGGGGGATAGATGGTTTAACTAGTCAGATTCAAACCACAAAACACTTTTAGTTTGTTTCTCAAACAGAAAAAAGTACATTCAGCAACACATGACCTGGTCAAGTTTACAACAAAGGTTTAGGTGTGCCAGGTTTCAGTCTCATGCAAATAAGTCTGACCGAAGAAGAGAGAGCCTACTTTGTAAACATACATGTTCAGATTGTGTGTCCATGCACAGTGTCTGCGTGCCTCCTCCCAGTTACTGCGAGCCTATTTTAAGTAAGTGACAAAGGCCCACTTAGATTTGGTTGGCTGGAAAGTCGGCCTGCACCACAGAGCCCTTCTTGTTAACTGAGGTCTGCTTCCAGTCTCTGGAGCCACCCTCCTCCTCCTCTCCCTTTGGTCCTCCCTCTCCCTGGATATCCACATGTCCTGCCCCTCAAAGGGCTCAGTCAGCAAATATTTAAAACTTTGCAAGTTAATCATAAGACTGAACACCCCACTTCCCCCTCCCTCCCTGTCCTTTACAAACAGAGAGGGAGGGAGGGAGGGAGGGAGGGACCAAAGGAACTAAGACTTGAACACAAACGCAGCTGGCATTCAGAGCGACAGCAGAGCAGCTACTGCTAATCATTAACTCTGCGCCTCCACGTGAGCAGCTTTTAGCCTCACACAGCTCAGAGGAGGAGCGACTCTCAGCAGGAACTGAGCAGCCAGTTAACTGAGAGTGTGAGTCAGTCGCTCTCAGACAGACGCGTGTTGCACCTGCCTCACCACCAACGGATTACCTGGATTTTATTAAGAAGCGCATAAAGCCGCAACTTTTGTCAGAATCAGAGCAAGCCTCGTCTTCGTCCTGGGCAGACTGAACTATGAAATGGAGTTCAGCCAGAGGACTTGAATCCAGTTCTGTTGGATTTAATCAGAACTTTGGCAAGAAAGGAGAAACTTCTGAAAAGAGACTGATCATCCAGCACAATATGCTTAACTTACAACGTAAGTTTGAGCCTTTTGACTTATGGAAATGGAACAGTAGATTTCTGCAGCTTTTTCCTTCAGGCTGTGTTCAGGACTGGTTTCTTTGGTTTCAAAAAAAAAGGGACTAAATTCAGCTTAACAAAAATGAGAAGAAAAAAGGTTGGTTTTTGGTTTGACTTGCTGCTCATGCTGTAAAGTTCTGGATTAGCGTATGTGTCTCGTCAGTGTAAACTCTGTTCACAGAGACTCTGAAATGTTCTGATTATTTATAGATATTCTGGACCAAGTGAATATAAACTAGTTTTTTTTATTTTAACCAGGTTCTTTTTAATTTGAAAAGCTTTATTTCAGAAGTGGCTTTTTATTGATATCTTTGCTTTAGTTACTTCTCCTCAGGTAAAGCTGAAAGTATGAGCACTGAGTTTTATTGGAATCCCCAGTTATGTACCAAAATCTGGTTCTATTTTAATCCCACTAAGAAAGTCAAGTGGACTATCTCTGTCCCACCGAGTGTCATGCTGTGGGATTACAGGCGTATTTCGGAGCGCTGAGCGCCGCTGACCGGGCCGGGCATTATAATTCAGCTGCGTACGTGCTGCTGCAGCAGAGCTGGCTTTGTCTGCGTGCCAGCAGTGGGAGGGGCTTAACGTCCGCACGACGCGCGCAGGGAGGAGGGGCCGAGCAGCCTGCAAGAGAGCCAGTGTGCAGGCTCAACAGACGGAGACGGAGAGGGAAGCATGAAACGAGCCGCAGGATCCGTTTTCTGCTCCCTCATCTTCAAAACTGCACGCTTCACAGAGGAAACAACGAGTTTAGCTGCCGTTTTATAAAAATTTAAAGACGGGTGGTAATAGGGGACATGTTTTAGGAGTGACCTCATCGTTCTCAGGAAATAAAAGATGCAGGAGCGGTTGGTGACAGACCCCCTGTGTGATTGGCTGTGGTAAGTGATGTAACACGTTACTGAGCAGGCTGCTCCTTAATGGGTTTTTTTAAACTGCTGTTTAGGTGCTAATTTACCTCTTTAACAAAGCTGAGCACACGTTGTATTTTTGTTTACGTGTTGGTTTGCTGAGGTGTCAGCAGGTTTATAAAGCTAGAGAATAAAAAAATCTAGAAAGATGTAGAGAAGTGATGATTTTAGGTAGCTGGAAGAGAAGCTGTAAGGCTGCAGAGAAACCGATCACAAGCCTCTGTGTTTTGTGTTAATTGTATTATTGGAGCTTGGCCGGCTGTTGGTTCCGGTGAACACCGTTCTGCAATCTTCAGTGGTGCAGAAGGGGTGTTAATGCAGTGGCAGTGCAGATTTGCAGGTTAAAAATAGCCAGCTACCTTAGCTCTGCCGCTGCTAGTTTCACAGGAAAACTGTTGGCTCGACTTTTATCGATTCATTGATGTTAAATGAATTGAACCAAAAGAAGGTTATCACACTTTAAAGCTCAGCTCAAAGGGACGTCGGTGCATCTCAACCTTTCATTGCCTGCTTTTATCTTCAAAGAGACGTCGTATGACATGCGTGCATCATTGTTTCAGAAGGCTGCTCTGCTGCATTTGCAGCTCAGATTATTTATAGATGACCCTTTTCTTGAATGAGATTCATTCTCACTGACTCACACTTCTCCCCTCCCACTCCATTGCTGCTGTCGTTTTTCAGCTGATGAGGACCACCGTTTCATTAGCTCTGTTGGATTAATAGAAGAAGCACAAGTGAAAGCCTACAGCAACGTGCTTTTTTTCCTTTATTTTCCTCTTTATTTTAAAGTAAAATTTTTATTCATTATTTTTGCTTTAATCTGCTGCAACTAAGATGGCAGAAAATCAAGATGTAAACGGGGCAATAAGGTGTTTACATTCTGCGTTTGCCCCTTTTCTCCCAACAGCTCTACCTCCAAAACCACCCAAGTCCACATCTGTGACTAACAACGGTATGAACAACAACATGGCTCTGCAGGATGCTGAGTGGTACTGGGGGGACATCTCTCGGGAGGAAGTCAATGAGAAACTGAGGGATACTGCGGACGGTACGTTTTTGGTGCGAGACGCATCCACGAAAATGCACGGAGACTACACTCTGACTCTGAGGTGAGCTGCTTTTCCTCGCAGTGCTTGGCCATCTTTAATTTATGTTCAGGATTAAATGTAACTCTTTGTTGTGCGTTTCCTACAGGAAAGGAGGAAACAACAAGCTCATCAAGATATTTCATCGTGACGGGAAGTACGGCTTCTCAGACCCGCTGACCTTCAGCTCTGTTGTTGAGCTCATCAACCACTATCGCAACGAGTCGTTGGCTCAGTACAACCCGAAGCTCGATGTCAAGCTGCTGTATCCGGTCTCAAAGCACCAGCAGGTAGGAAGCCAGCTCTGCAAGAAGCAGCACTCAAAACCAGTTTTAATTTGACTTAAATTAACCACAAATCCCTCCTCAGGATCAGGTGGTAAAAGAGGACAACATTGAAGCTGTTGGGAGGAAGCTGTGTGAGTACCACCAGCAGTACCAAGAGAAGAACAAAGAGTACGATCGCCTCTATGAAGAGTACACCAGAACGTCACAGGTCAGTCCTACCTGCGGTCTAACAAGGACAAGAGTTGTCCAGCACACTTTGTCATTCCCACGTTTAAACTGGGCCTTTGTTTGCAGGAAATCCAAATGAAACGTACGGCAATAGAAGCTTTTAATGAAACCATAAAGATTTTTGAGGAGCAGTGTCAAACACAAGAGCGGTACAGCAAGGAGTACATTGAGAAATTCAAAAGAGACGGAAACGACAAAGAGATCCAGAGGTAAGAGGGCTGGAAAAGAGCAGCTTTACCTGTGAAGAAAATGTTGAACTTTCTCTAAACTGTTTCTCTGTTGTTGTTTGTTTGTTTGCAGAATCATGGGAAACTACGAGAAGTTGAAGTCAAGGATTAGTGAAATAGTTGACAGCAAGCGTAGGCTGGAAGAAGACTTGAAGAAACAGGCAGCGGACTACAGAGAGATTGACAAGAGGATGAACAGCATCAAGCCCGACCTGATCCAGCTCCGCAAGACCAGAGACCAGTACCTCATGTAAGTACAGCCGTAGATGTGGTCCTGTTAGCTGTGAAATGGAACTGCCCTGGTTTCTAATGCCCACATGGGTTTTGTCTCACGCAGGTGGTTGACCCAGAAGGGAGTCAGACAGAAAAAGCTCAACGAGTGGCTGGGAATCAAAAACGAGAGCACAGAAGAGTAAGCATAGTGGGGAAAAAATGGCTGATGCAAACTGAAAGTATCGTACCTCACAACTAACATTTGTGTGCGTTTCTTTGCTGCTCTGTAGTCAGTACTCTATGGTGGATGACGATGAAGACCTTCCTCATCACGATGAACGGACCTGGAGACTGGGCAACATCAATCGAGTTCAGGCCGAGGCGCTGCTTCAGGGGAAGAGAGACGGAACATTCCTGGTTCGGGACAGCAGCAAAGCTGGCTGCTACGCCTGCAGCGTTGTGTACGTATCTGTAGTATTTATTTTAATTTTTTAATCCGTGCCAACATTTAAACTTTTGGATTCTGCAAAAATCCACAAATTTCAGCGTTGATGTGGAAATAATTCTGCTCAGAACAAAGAAACAGGGTTCATGCCGGGTCTTAAAAAAGCCTTAAAAAGTCTAAAAAAGTCTAAAATTTGAAAATCTAAATTTTAGGTCTAAAAAAACTCTTTTAAACACCCAGATTTTCATCCAAGGTCTTCAGTTTAATTTTTTCAAGTCTTAATTTTTTTCTACTTTTGATCATTCCTGACTCCTGAGAACCGTTGGCTGCATAAAGAAAGTTAAGAGTCGTAATCAGAGGTTGACTCGATCTGTCTTCATGATGCTAAGCTTGCTACTGGTCATGATTCAACTACAAATCCCCTGATAACTGCAGGTAAAACTGTCAGTTTACTTCCATGTTTTTGACCTCTTTGTAGCTACAACCCCCCACATACAGCCCCCCACATACAGGTGACTTATTTACCTGCTCAACAAACAGAAGTTCAGTCAGGTCCACTGCTTGTTGTTTAAACATGGGAAAGTGTGTTTTCATTGAGACTTGACTTGATATCAGTGATTTTTTTCACTTTGTTGAAAACGGTTCACAGCAGTCAGATATGACRGTTTCATTCAAATAATTTAGTGTTCTTATATTAAAATTAAATATTCTTTAATAACTAGATTGATAACAAAAGGTTTCTGTTATAAAATTTCTGGGACCATTTGAATGTTTTTGTTAATGTGTCGATTTGGTCTTAAATGTCATTACTAATGGTCTTAAAAGGTCTTAAATTGAGCTTACTGAAACCTGCATGAACCCTGAAGAAACATCTTCATATTCTCCACAGTTTCCTAATTGCAATGGTTGTCTTGTCTGTGCAGTGTGGACGGCGAGGTGAAGCACTGCGTCATTAACAAGACTCCCTCAGGCTACGGCTTCGCAGAACCATACAACCTGTACAGCTCACTGAAAGAACTCGTACTTCACTACCAGCATACATCTTTAGTCCAGCACAATGACTCACTGAATGTGACGCTAGCGTACCCAGTTTATGGCCAGCAGAGACGATGAGGACCCGGATGTTTCCACAGACACGAACTTTTAAAGCCACCCAGGAGACATGGTGTGGACTCCATGATTGGAAACAAAGCGATGCTCCGATGACTGGCTTGGACTTTAAAGCCGGAGGAAAAGACTAACAAGCCTGAAACATTTCAGTGACTTTGCCCGACCACAAACATGAGGCGAGTCTGAATGTAGATTTCTTTTTGCTCTCCTCCCCGCCTGTGGGAGCACAGAAACGAGCGGAAACAGCTGAAGTCCCCGAGCTGAGGAGGACGTTTGAGGCCTTTTCCATATGGTGCTTGTTCTTTTTTGAAGCTTTACCAGCCAACATGTCAAACTGCAGCAGAGGAATTGTTCGAATGGAACTGGACTCGCTGGCCACAACCTTTTTTTCTTTCTTTCTTTTTTTCACATCATCAGTGTGTGTTTTCTGTGTGACTGTCTATGTGACCAAAACTCATAGAATCGAACAACTGTGTGACGTTGGAGGGCTGTGAAACACTTCTGCTTGTGTTATCTCTTTGGTAGCCGACCATGGATCAGCTGAAAATGTAGCAAAATGGCACCTTTTTTTTTTAAAGTAATACAATAAATTTTTTGTTTCTTTTCGGGGAAAAAAGAAAAACTCCTAAAAACTTGTTTTAGAAGAGCGGAGAGGAAAAAAAGTCTGCATCCTGCCGTCTTTTGTTGAGCATTACAGTGCACAAGCAAACTTGATTTTAGCTGTAGGCAGGTGGAACTATGAACGGACTTATTGTTTCATGTACATATGTGAAATTGTACAAAGTCACGAATCAAAGTGCACCGTACCAAAAAGGATCAGTTCCTGTTTAGTTCTCTTCTGATCTGCTATGCAATTTTTTCTCCATTTGTACCTAAAAACCGTTTTACTCTGTTGCAACCCACAATATAAGCTTGTTTTATTGCTTGAACAGTATCTTTTCCTATGTAAATATCCTAGAGGATATTTTGTGTCAAAATGGCAAGAACGGTAAAAAAAATGCTTGTGATTTTTAAAGATAACGATAGAAACATACACTTTATTATACATTACTTTAACAGCTGGTAAAAGATGGCAAAGATGAGTATTTTATTAATCTGTCCTTTATTTTTGCTTCAAACTAATGTTCCTCTCAGGCAGAGCCTTTTGAGTATTTGAGCTGCTTCAGTGAAGAGTACGTTTTTTTTTTTTCCTCCGACAGAACGAAGCCGACATGCAGATCTTTGTTCGAACACTCAGAGCTGATGGGATTGTACGACCCATATCACCACCAAAACCGCAGGAAAGATTTATTTTCTTATAAAAATCTATAATAAATATGTTCCCATATGAGAATATAAGATCAATATGCATTTTACACTTCATATTTTTCTGTATCAGAAAATGTTTACATGGGTGGATCAGCTCATTTCAGAAAATGATTTCAAAGGGTGAGAAGTCATGTAGGCGAAGACCTTTGTATGAAAACGCCACAAGCTCGGCTAGTTTCCTTCCACGTCTTTGGTTTAACAGAATACAAAGTGGTACGTGAACAAACCCAGACTGACTTTTCTTTACCTCCGTCCTTCAAACAAGAAGCATCGGAGGGAATGTACAAACTGTCTAAGCAGCATTTAAATGAGACGTTTTTAAACACGGTACTGACGTTCAGTGGGGTTTCTTTAGACATACTTGACCAAATTGCTCATCCAAGACTGAAATATTAGCACATTTTCAGGAGCTGTCATTTATTCTGGGTTTTATTGGTTCTATCAAAGTAATGCATCACCTGTGAAATTATTATTTTTTTAACTAGAAGTCTCATTTTATTTACCTCACAATAAGCTGCTGGCACAAACCTTTTTGTTTATCGTCTTTATTTTTTAAAGATCACAGGTAACGTGCAACGTTTTGCCTCAGTTTTGGGTTTTTAATAAATTTGTTCAATGTTATAAAAAAATGTCCCACACGTGATGATTGGATTGAGATTTGCCAGTGTTCCCAAGTTTGGCTTCAAATCTGTATTGGGCTTTGTTAAAACATAAAATAAAACACTTCTTTTTAAATCAAAGTATTTTCATGTGTTTATTAAATTCAGTTTGGTGTGTTTTACATTATTCACATTTTCTACAAACTCTGTCCCCAGAAGATAATCACTTCATCTATTTGGGATTAGCCTGACTCAGCATTTTTTATTTATGGTTACTAATAGTTTTATTGCCCACTACCAAAAGGCCTGCGTGTCAGCCAAATATCTGTATGAATATGATCACTGGATGGAAATCAACAACTACCATATTTAATCATGTATAAAACGATCATCATTTTTGAGCTAAAAAAACATTAAAAATCTAATCACCAATAACCAGTGTATAATACGACCCCCCCTACTTTATGAATGATTTTTAGGGTTAAAGTTCTAGTATTATACGTGAATAAATACAGTAATTAACTTGTTCTAACATGTCTGACAGCCAACTTGACTTCAAAGACACTAATTTGACAAAACTGGATCTAAAATTTGGTGTATTTGTAGCAAAGGTTGATTCCCATAAATTGTAAAAGATCTTGGTTTTAAAATGTTTTTCTACATAACTATGTCAGCTCTCTTTCTGTTAGCAAAATACCTGGTTTCCCACTGGATACGTTTTAATTAATCTATAATTATCTGATGTATGTCCACAACTAATTATCAAGATGGCTGCCACATTTACGTGACCTTTTTTAAATCACTTAAGTAGAAAAAAGAACTTAAAGTGTGTCTTACCCCCCCTGTGAAAAGATAACTCCGCCCCAAGGCGAAATTTGAAAAATGCATCAAAGTGGGTAGGGGAGGGGGGTGTGGGTAGGGGAGGAGGGGTTAGAGAGCGGAGGTGTGGCCAGGACGAGAGAACGTGACAGCCTCAGCTGAGCAGTCTGCCTCACAGGACGGAGGAGTGGAGAGCTCCGCGACAGCCTGACAGAAAAAAATAAAAGCAT